CCCTCTCGCGCCAGCCCGAGCTTGCCGTCATCACGCAACCAACCTACCACTGCTACCACTGAATATGGAAATAGATAGAATCCGCACCGCACACTGCACGCGATTATACTATACGCGAGAGCAAATTGTATTGTCACATATTACACATATTATACTTAAACTTCCGCGAAACACCCGCCGCTGTACAATAAAGAATTTGCGTACCATCCGACTAACACGCTGAGATTATGCGATAATACCACGACACTCCGACCGCCGGTCATCTGGGACATCGCGAAAACGATAGCGCGAATTGCGGAATTATACTATTGGCCGGGAATGTTCCGGGAAATCGCACGCTACGTGCGCGCGTGTAAAAACTGTATCGTGCACAAAGCCGAACAGCAGCGACCGCCCAGATTGCTCGCCACCGACGTAACACGACTCTGGCAACAAGTGATGATAGATCTGATAGGGCAGCTATCTCGATCAAGTAATGATTACACGTGGCTATTTAACATGCAGGATCATTTTACGAAATGGGTGCAAATGCGATCGTTACGCAAAACCACCGCCGACGTCATCACAAAGAGCTTCGCAGAAGCCATCATTTACCACCACAGGCTGCCCAGAAGAAGTGTTAGCAAACAACGGGACGTTCCGAAAAGCTGCAGCGAATGTTGGCAAGCCTAGGAATCCGTCAGAGATTCACACCGGCATATACATTACAATGCAATCCTGTGGAATGCATTAATCGGTGAAGACGATGATTACACAGTATGTCGACAAAAATCATTGCCGATAGGACGAACATAAGCGAACTACAATTCGCTTACAATATCGCCGCCACGGGTTATATGCCTATTTAAACCACGGCCGAGAACTAGCTACACGACCGCCAGAGACTCGACTGGACGACCGTCGCCGCACATCCTGAGACAACAAATCGCCACCTCTAGGAGGCATATAAGGTGGTGCAGATAAACTTATCCAGAGCCTTTCAATGGCAGGTTCACCATTACAATTTCAGACATTGAGATTGGAAACCAAAGATCGGCGAGAAAGTGTGGAAAAGAACGTACTTCCTATCCAAAAAAACCGCGATGCATTCAATGCTAAATTAGTGCTACGCTACGAAGAGCCGTACGAAGTGCGAAAAATAATATCACCCATAATTAGGGATTTAAAAGACACACGAGGACACTGGCACCGGCATATGCATGTACATGTGCGTAATTTGCGCCCCACTCTAACTGAATACACGCGCATTGACGAAGACTCCGAAATTAGCGGGAGAAGAAAACAAACAAAGAGGACTAGAACGATTGCTAGAAAACAATTTGGAAAAGAAATCAATCACTTTTCTTTGCGACACATCAAGGATGGAAAAGCAATTGAAAGAGCTCGAGGAGATTCTGGCAGAATATGCCAACCCAGAATACGATCTCGAAAATCCTGAGATCGGGAGTGGGTTCGCCTACGACGACCACCCACTCCAGTCACCACAACAACGATCGCCACCACTACGACCGTCGCAAAACCGGTCACCAACTGTCGAATCACCGCCGCACGATGCCGACAATCGGTACCCGAATACAAAGGTCCGACCGACAGCACAGCAGAAGATGCAAGCGTTGCTGACACCGCCGCCTCCACGTCGCTGCAGCCACGGAAGCGTCCAGCAATCGAACCGACGCTACCGAAACCGACGC